GGGCTGCACACTGCTTCAACAGTTCTGCAAATCAGAAGTAAGCGTATGTCTTGCCAGAGCTTAAAGTGCTGAGAAACAGTTCCAGAAAGAAAGGAATCACTGTCCTCCCCCCACTGCTGGCACAGCAAAGGCTGCCTTGCTGTACCAAGAGTGCCTACAGAAATAGGAGTGAAAAAATAAGTCTCTCCTATTCCCTCTGTCCTTTATCAGACTGCAACCGCTCAAGTGCAGGGAAGCTTCTTGCTATGGTTAAGGCTGCATGGCAAAAGCCAGGACATTGGTACCTTGCTACAGTCTTATTCCAGCTCCTTTCCCTGGTAGGTTCACATGGGCATAGGATTTTGCCTCTCCTTGCCAAATGGCTGTGTAGCATTGCTGGGCATCATTGCAGTGACCATGCTCCCAGGTGTACATGGGTATATTTCAACAGGGGATGAATAAACCTCATGTAATCTGATTGAAAATAATGGAATTGAAGGGGTTGGAAGGGACCTCAAAAGATCATCGGGTCCAACCCCCCTGCCAAAGCAGGTTCCTCAGAGCAAGCTGCCCAGGTAGACGTCCAGACTGGCATTAAATATCTCCAGAGAAGGAGACTCCACAACCTCCCCGTACCCAACCTATAAAACACTTCGGGAACCTTGTGAGCAGTTTAAGGTAGAGGAACCAAAGCTAGCCTCCCTCTTAGCTATGGTTTTGCTGCAGGTATGACGACTTCGCAGACAAGGAGCATGTATCTGTTTCTTAATGCACAGCAGCGGTGCCTTGCCAGGTACAAGGGTAGGAATCCAAGGAAAGCAAAGCCTTTTAACTGAAGGCTGGGTCCCCCATACACCACTGTCTGTAAAAACACGTTCTGATTCACGAACTACAGCACAGGAGGCTTCTCTACCACACGTGCTTAGGTTACAAATCACAGTCCAAATGTTGGTGTACCCTGCCCTACTTGGCCAGCAAGCTCCATTACTGCACAGCTGCAGAAGGCTTCTTACAAATGGCAAAATAGTCCTTGAACAGGTAAAAGCCACAATTAACTAACTGTGGATGAAAAGGATGGTCTCCTTGGAGGTGCCGGCTAATCAAGCAATTAGAAACTACTTCCCATTACCTGTGCTCCCACAAAGCAGGGCTGGACTGACATCCTTCTATCTAAATGTCTGGCTTTCCATCTATTCAAACCCCTTATATCATTTGGCTTCATCACAGCGAAGCCTTGACCCCTGGGCTCTCCCCAGCGCTCTCTCCCAGCTTTGAACTAAGTGAGCACTGGAAGCAACGAATTCAATCACTGGCATGTTCCCTGCAGGGACCCTGTTTTGCCTCTTTGTCTTCCTGGCACACAGCAAAACCTCCAGAAGTTGTGTAAGCATGCGTGTGGATACCTGGGGTCAAAAAAAAAACCAAAAAACAGCTGGTCAAAATTTCTCACAACTCCTTACTTAATAGGGGATGAGAGTGCTCCAGCTTCAGCAGTTTCCACTCAGCTCTGAAAAAGCTTCAGCAGCTGTTAGTGAGGGGCCAAGGATGCAAGGGTGAGAGGAGGAAGGAGTGACCCTCATTCCCACAGCCAGACCCTTACCCCACAGGCCAGGACACAGCCTGGGACAAAGCACCTGAGCAGCCATACAGCACCAGCACCCTGCCTGCATGGGAAAGCCCCTGCCTGGCATCACACTAGCCTCATGGGGGTGCTAATTTTATCCTGTCTGGCTTAGCCAAACTCAGGGATGCCCTGGGTCCTCTGCTTTTGCTCTAGGACCAACCTGTCATCACCTCCCCAGTACCTCTGTATCCCACAGCCACAAGTCCATCTCTCCCAACACACCTGCCAGAGGGAGGAAGTGCTCCTAATCCCAGTGTTGGCCAAACAGTTCTTCCATCATTTCTTAGTTCCTAAGCTCAAGGGTTTTGCACTTTTAAGGTGTTTCCACTCTGAAAGATTCAGCTTCCAGAGTCCCTTATCACTTTCTCCTGAAATGTCTGGTGTCCACATTTCACCAGAAGTTGCCTAGCTCTGCTCTTGCATGCACCTTGTTGAATCAGAGAATTTAGCTGAACCAGCTATCTTCCTATGTGTCATCAGTAGCCCTGCAGAGAAAATGGTAATTGTGGGGCAGGGAACATACTCATTTCTCATTCATTTTCAACACATGACATGATTTACTTTCAGGATCCTGCTCAAACAGGAAAGACGAAAGCAGAGGTAGAAGAGATTCTTTCATTCATATCCTATCACCTATTTTTATACACACAGCTTTTCCCAACTCATCCAGGAAATCCATTGGAGCAAGCCCAACCTGTGGTATGGCCACTGTCTCCCCAAAAGACTTACTCTGTGATCTTTCCAGTGAGCATTTCCACAAGTCATGGTAAAGATTTACTTGTGCAGTTTCTCCTGTTGTTACTCCTTGTGTTGTCCTGAGCAGCCTGCTCTCTCACTGACACTTTTTTTTTTAAGTAATACCCTAGAGAATGATCACCTTGCACCATCACTTAGCCAAACCACTGTGGCTGAGATGAGAGAGATAGCATCTACTCTCTACTAATTATTTTTATCCCTATAATCCCTGATAGGTGCACATAACCCCCCTAGACTTAAAATGGGGATTGTCCGGGCAATACACAAACCATCATGTATGATGTTTTCCCTTCTGTTTCCTACCTGCACACATGCCACACAGCTGTAATCAGTCCATTAGCTCACCTGGATCTATGTGCTGCAGCTCCCAGTCTCCAGCCATGCTGCTGGGCCCATGGAGGGAGCTCTGCTACCGGCAGGTGCTGTGCAAGTCTGCATGGTGACAACGCATGGGGAATGGCTGCAGCCTACCTCACAAGCCCTCTGCCTTTGCTCAAAGATCATCCCCCATCACCGTGCTCTCCATTTAGACCAATTTTCCCACAAAGCCACTCCATTTTTTACAATCATCCAAGCCCCTGATAAGATTCTCAGGAGTAGGTCACAACAGAAGACAGGCTGCTTCTAATTGACTGGAGATACAATGCTGCTACACATGATAATGTTTGGTCTGTTGCCTTTTCTTGATTTCTCATGTCCTTTTCCAAGCTCTTGCCTAATTTGTCAGCTTGTCACGTTCCTCCCTAGGTGTATCTGCATTTCCAATTGTTATTCCCCCCATTTATTCTGCACTGATCCCGACTGTATGTGATTACTTCTTGCATACACGAGATTTATCTGAGGAGCCCACTCTCGTACTTGTTAGGGAGGACTGCAAGTCTTACCACTGAATTTGAGAGCAGCAGGGTTAGTTAGGCCTAGGCCCCATGGGAAGATTCCTTCATTGTTATTTTCTCTTCTTTTTGGATTCATCTGCAAGTTCCTAGGTTTGATGTTGGCCCCAAGGGGGAAGGTTTCAGTATCCCTCCTTGCACTCTCCACTGCTCTGACACTCCACCTTGCCCTTCTGCCATCTATATTTCAGCTAAGGTTTTTGTATTTAACATGTACTGAGGATGTAGCTACACTGGAGTTAAATTTGTGCCTGACATAACCCTGTTAATCCTCTGAGCTTCAGCAAAGAAAACTGTGGTGCGTTAGGTTCCTGACATCATTTCTGTTTTTAAATACTTGGATTTGTTACCTGGAAACTAATAGGCATGGGCACTTACCTGTGATTTTAGTACTGCCCAGTTTCACCTGCTACTTCACTTTTACACATTTCATTCTCTTAATTTCTGTCTTTATGTAATCATTGCTCTCATCCTCATTAGCATTTCCTCTCTCCTTCTTCCCATTTCTATCTTTTTTTCCTCTGTCTCTTTAAAATTAAATATTGCCCAGCACTGCCCATGTGGGTGATGTGAATGCTAAGAGGGAAGGCTGCTGTGGAGACTGGATTCGAGCTGCCTCGCTGGGAATCAATGAGGCATGGAGGGCTCGTCTAGCTCCCGAAACGCTGAAAGAAACCAGGGCGTATCAGTGGCAGCTGAATATGCACTTGAGAGCAAGGAAGGGGGCCCACCTCTGAGCGCCTGGCTCAGCCTCTGAGATGCACCATGCAGACAGGCAGAGGTGGCTGCTTTGGTAATTGAACAGGGGCTAACCTCGGGGTGGCTTTCCACATCTCCTGCAGAAGTGAGATTGCTGGATGGAGCCCCACGGAGCAGCAGGGGTTTGCAGGGAGCAGACAGCCTGCCCTGCTCCATCTACCCAGTGAGCTATGAAACACAGCTGGTACCGGCCATGCTACGAGGATGCAGTGCTGAGAGAGGAAGGAGCTGGCTCGCATGCAGGCAAAGGGAAGGCAGGTCAGGGGCACACATTAACCCTGCCATTAAACTGCAGGGAAATTAAACTGTACACAATACCTAGGCCTTAGAACTACACCTAGGCAGACATACCCCACCCAAACCCACCCACAACATATCCACTAGGTGCAAATACTGCACTTACCCCTTCGTGTTCTCCCCATACTTCCTCAACACACAGACTGCCCACAACACCCCAAGACAGCCCCATAAACCTCTCTATATAAGCAGATATACATGTACATGCTGCTTCCATTCTTCAGCCATCTCTCTCCCCCCACCACACTCCCATCTTCTCTACTATTGCCTTTGCACACCGTTGCCTCCTCCCTCCCTCTCACCATGTTAGTTGTGCTCCTTGGAACTCCTCTCCTCCACCTGGGAGTTGTGAGGAGACCTCCTTTCCTACAGAGCAGGACTCCAAGCAGCAGAGTGCCCTCTCTAAATGCCAGGGCTACTTTTTTTATACCTAGCAAACGCAGGCACCCACCTCTGATCTCGGTGCTGTAGCCTGCTGAGGGTTAACGGTGACACAGACTCCTTGGATACTGCACTACCTGACTGCAAGCACCAGAAGTGATTTATGTTATTATTTTCTTTGGGGGTTAATTAGGGGCTCGAAAAAGTAAAGGGCTGTCAGTGCCAGCTGGAATTGGTCTATTGCAGCCAGGGGAGAGCAGTCTTTCCTCCCAGAGCCCTGCTAATGCATCTTTGTCCCGAACAGCCCCTACCTCTTTGCCCAGATCCTCGCGGATGACTTGCTCAACCTCCTGCCTGGTGCTCTGCGGGGCCTGGCTGTGCAGCACCTTGAGGGTGCGGGTGTACTCCTCGGGCAGCAGGTAGTCCAGCGCTCCCAGGTGCTGTCCCACCTTGATGAAGGTGCCTCGGTTGGCACAGCACAGCTCCCGGAGGCGCTCAGCAGAACGCAGGTGCACCTGCAGAGAGAACAGAACATCAGCCAGGCCCCTTTGCTGCCTGTTGCACAGCAAAAGGGACTTCCACGTGTATCTGCACCATGCACATGGCACATAGGCATCGTGATCAGTGACAGAAAATTAGTTTTTGGCTCTGCCTTGGGCTACATCCTTGAGCACACGATGTCCACCCACAGACAGCATTGGTTCATCACTGTGATCTATCACTGTGATCCACTGCTATGAGCCCCTGTCAGAAGGCAATTGTCAGGACCACAACCATGGCTAGCAGAGTCAAGAAGAGCACAGTGAAATCAAGTGAGGAGAAAACCATGGATACCATCCCAAGAACTTCCAGAAAGTTGGAAGAAAAGTTAAAACCATCATTAAAATCACCAGTACTACAGATGTCTCTTTGGCAGCGAGGAAGGGCACTATGTGGGCTGTCCTTCATCCTCCTCTGCTCACTTCAAAACACCACAAGGGGACATTGCATCTCTCCAGTCAAGCCACGTCTTAGACTTACTGCTCACATCGTCGAAGTCCACTGACGCAGTAGTTTTAGAAACTTGGGATTAGGAGATTTGCCAGCTTTGCTCACATTGGCCAAGAGGTACCCAAATGACAAAACTTATCGCCCACCACTTGCCCAGTCTGGATTTCAGCTCCTGAAGCTCATTCTGCCGCTCAAAACCAGACCAGCCACCACATCTTCTAGTGACATTGATTTATTCTGCCTTTATTGCTCTCACTAGGAATGCCTCCTGCCAAGGACACAGCTACACTCAATATTCTTTAATAAATTTCAGATAAGCTTACCCTGATACATTAATAAAATCTAAGCAAATCAATGACAAAAAAAAAAAAATGTTCTGCACCCATCTCCTGGCAATGCCTGGCACCTATCTGAATGGAGGCTCCTCATTCCTCTGGCTTCCATGTCGTATGTCATTGAAGGTCAAATCCTGTGTCTGCAGACCCCATCCGCCCAGGAGACACCAAGATCCTGTGAAGGACTCCAATGAAAACCTTACACACACAGACACACACACACACCCCTATTCCCCATCTGCCCTCCATGCCAAGCAGCGCGGTGTCACATCACAGGACAGAGTGAATGTCTCGCTTGTGGGGAATGTGTCAGGGGACAGGCTGGGTGCTGAGCTGCAAGCACATAAAATACAGGCCTGGGGGAGTGTGAGGAGAAAGCCTGATGTGAGAGTCTCACACTCCGTTTGGGAGACTTGACAGCTTGCTGCACGCACGCACACCCCCCCGCACTTTCCTAGGTGGGCACGCACAGGCAAGCAGAACTGGCACTCGGAGCGTGCTTGTCCCAGCACATTGCCTGCCCAAAATACTCACAGATGCACAGGTAGAAAACAACATCCGCAAGCATCCCTGAAGCCTCCCATATTATTGTGCTGCATTTTATGTACCTGCTTTAAAGCTCCTGCTGTAACAAGCAGGGCTCTGCCCTGGCTGTTTTTCTGCTCTCCTCTGTGTGTCAAGAGGCAAAAGCAGGCCAAAAGGGAATAGGGAAAAGGAGCTGTGAAAGCGGCCGAGAAAGCAAGAAGAGCAGGGAGGGAGTAATGGGATGAAAGAGAAAGGCAGTGGGAGGGAGGGAGCCAGAGCAGCTGGGTAGTTTGTCACAGCACAGGGAGTTCAGCCCATTACAGGGAAACAGCTTTAATGCAGCTCCAATAATTGCCCTCTGCACGCTGCCTCCAGCAGGGGAGGAACCCCCCTGCCGACAGCAGAGCCGTGCCTGGCTCCCCCCAGGGTGTGGGGCCAGCTGCAGCCCAGGGCACGGGCAGGAGCCAGGCCCAGCTCCTCGCAGATACACTCCAAAAGCTCCAGCACTGAGCGAGGGCCAGCCAGGGCTTGCCATCCCCCCAGATGCAGCAGGAGCTCATCGAGAGACCCCACAGTGCTGTGTGGCTCAGGGCAGAGCAGCCACGACCCCGGGGCAGCCAGCTCGGGTTAGAAGCACCAGCTCCAGTGTGCCCACCTGCCCCATCCAGATCACCAAGGGCTGGCAAATGACCAAAAGCAGCCAAGAGGATGGATAAGTCAAGTAGCTGAGTGTACAACTGAACATACACACGGATGCAAGGTCATGCCTGTCACTTTACGCCTGCAGTGGAAGAGGAAATTTCAGCCCTCCCAGACTTATCCATCTTACAGAGAACTTGTTTTGCCTCATGAACTCAGCAGTCCTCAACAACAGAGATGAGGGCATCCTCACAGAGGGCTCTAGGAACAAAACAGGTCAAAAACCCTATGCACAGCATCCTCCAATGCTTTCGTGATTGGTCTGGTTAACACTCCTGAGAGACAGCCACCCTGGATGGTGGTCAGGACCAGGGAATGCCAGCTCCTGCCTCTCTTAGAGAAAGAGATGGCCCGACAGCATGTTTGGGAAGAAGGAAATCTACCTGTAGCCCTGAATTTAACAGAACTCCAGTCTGCATTGAAGGCAGAATTGAGAATGAAGTGGGGCTGTGATTCCAGCTTCCAAAGTCTTTTCTTACCAACCAGGTCAGGATGTTTAGCAGAAAAATGTTCCTAATGTTATCTATTAATCACCTGGATCTCTGCAAGCCAGGTCATGGTCCAGACACAGCATTTGTTTCTCTGATATAGGACCTTTTCCTAATCATAAGTGAAGTGTCACATTCCTTCCACAGTGTCTGACGCTCTTGACTCACGTTACTGTCCTACCTTTAAGAAACTGGGTAAACGGAAATCCCCCAGAATGGCTCAGTGCTTTTCTCCAACAAATCTCACAAGGTACTGCTCTTTGTTACACATGCAATACTTTGAAGATTCTTCTTATCAGGGAAAAGAGCTGGGAATAACAGCTAGTTAGGCATGGACCTGCTTCTACACATCATGCCTAGGAGCACCCTGTAGAGAAAGGAAGCACTGAATATACGGAGGATTACCAAGAATAAGCCTCCCTCAGGAAGCACTTCAGATCCCAAATGTTGCCTGAGTGTGTATAGGGCTCTTTCCCCAGTCCACATGGGCATCTCTTTCTCTCTCTCCCCCCCTTGCTCCAATTTCAGCAGGACCAGTTATCCACTGGCCCACCACATGGCTATCAGACCTATATGGTTTGCCTAAACCCTTTGTAGAGTGGGATTAACACTGATGATTGAAATTGTTCCATCTGGGCCATAACAGAAGGAGTAAGTCTCAGGTGTGGAAAGAACACAACTCTGGGATAAAGCACATACCCTGCAAACACAGGTGCAAAGGGACATTTTTCTTTTAAGTTTACCCTCGATGTACAAGCAGATCTGTTCTGTTCCAGTCATTTTGATGCTTTTGAAGAAATTTTTACCTGGACAAAGAGCTGTTCTTCAGAGCACCAGATGCACAGGTGTCACAAACAGGCAGGCACTAACCCAGCCTTAAGGATAAAGGAACTAATTTAGAAAAAAATAAATACCAAAGTTAAAACACACTGGTGCAAAGCTGAGTATCGGATTTGTTGACAGATCTGGTGATAAAAGGGCTCAGAAAGGCCATTGAGGACAGTAAGGTAAGTGGCGGAAGCCATTCTCTGCATGAAAAATCCTTCAGAAAAGTCATTCCAACCCTGAGGGGCATCCTCGCAGCTGGCAAAACGTGAAATGAGGATTAGGAATGCAGAGAGAAAATTTGAAATGCAATTAGTCAAAGACATAACAAACAAGTCACCAGAAATTCCCGATGATGACTGTTGCCTCCAGGAACCCTACAAACACAGATGCCTCACAAAGGACATCAGGCTGCATTTTGTGGAAGACAGGTCTGGAAAAGCTGCTCCTTCCACTCACCTCCACACTGGACAGCACCCCAGGACAGGTGAGCAGGACCAGCTCCACACCTCCTGGCTGCCCACTCACATCCCACCTGCTCCCTACCTGAACAAGGGAGGGGAGGAGATGCCCTCTCATGCCACCAACCATTCCAATACAGCATTTCAACAATACGTCTCCAGGAAACACCTTGAACACCTCAATCACATAAAAATTACAAATGATTTTAAAAGGTAGCTGAAACATTAATAATCATAACAAAAAGGGGATCACACATTAAAAGTGTTAGGAAGGAGAACAAATGTTGCCCTGTTTTTAAGAAAAGTCCAGAGTAATCTGGGAAATTATAGCCCCATTAGCTTTTATTCTGTCTGAACTAAATTAGTTGAGACAATAATTACGAAGAGTACCAAAAATAATCTAGCTAAATGTGATATGAACAGAAAAAGCAAAAGGAAAACAGGGAGGTTAGGAGGAAAAAAAAATCGTTCTTCACCAGTCCACTAAAATACTCCGAGCATGTTAATGCAACAGTCAATGAAAGTAAAAGGGAAGATATTTATCAGGACTTTCAAGTGGCTTTCAATAAATTCCTCCACAAAAAAAAAAAAAAAAAAATCAAGCAATTATTAGACAAGATGCAAGAACACCCTTTTACTTGCTCATTTCATCCCATTCCCTGCTCAGAAATCCCTCCTTGCCACACCAAGCCCAGCACTACAGAAAGCAGCAGTGGGGGACTTAGTGATTAGGACAGAAGTGCCACATTTAGTGGTGTTTTTACCACAGCTCCATTCCAGCCTGCTCTGAGCAGTTTTAGACAAGGTGATATTGCAGAAGCCCTGTCCACATTAGCACCTGCAATGTTGTTACTTCCAGGGAGGCTGAACTAGCAGGAGAAACACCAAGAAACGTGATGAAAAAGCAGGTAGAGGTAGTACCCACAAGGCAGAAGGGGCTCTACTACAAATGAGTTGCCTGCATCGCTGTCAACAGCTAACATCAGAGCATCCTGTTCCACCCCCTCCTGCACCAAAGTTTAATTTCCCTGCTAGTGGTAGGAAGGAGACAACAGTGCAGTGACAAAACTTCCAGGAGAAGCAACAGAAATTATTCTCCACTATGGGAACATAAACCCTGCCACATCCCTACCAAAGATAGGTGAGCAATCAACAGACGGGCAGATCACCCCCAGCATAGATGGCTGCAAGG